TCAGGTCTTCTGACCAAAGCCAGGGGAACAAAGAGTCTGACCTCAGGGGATAGTCCTTAAGTCCTCCAGAACCCGGTCCTCTAGGCCAGGGCGGGCCAAGTCCGAAACCAAGCCCCAAGTCCTCACCTGGCCGGGGCCGTTGGAAAGGCCGTTGAGGTCACCAGAGCCGCCGGGGACGCCCCAAAGTCGAAAAATCGCCAAAGGGGCCACCAGCGCCACCGGGACCGGAATGGCCAAAAGGGCCCTCAAGGAGGCCGCTGGACACGCCGTCAAGGCCATTGCGGCCGCCGAAACTGCCGCCGAGGCCCAAAGACCACCAAGGCCGCTGGAGGGGCCATCGGGGGCCACCGGGGCTGCTGGAGAAGCCGCCTGAAGGCCACCGAGGCCAGAATGAATTTCCGAAGGGGCCATTGGGAGGGCCATCGGGGCCACTGGCCCAGTTCTTAAAGGGCCGCCGGGGCTACCAGAAGGCCCTCAGAGAGTACTCTCTCTGACTTGTAGGACTCATGACTCACAACCCTGCATCTGAGGACTTGCCTTCCCTTTCATAAGCTTACAACAGGGGTCTTCAAACTTGGCCCTTTTATGACTTGTGGACTTCAACTCCCAGAATTCCTCAGCCAGCGTGGGAGTTGAAGTCCACAAGTCATAAAAGGGCCAAGTTTGAAGACCCGTGGCTTATAACAATACTAAGATTTTAAGCACACATTCCTTTTGGAAAGTCTCCACCATTTAAGTTATGCTCTTTTCAGATCTGCTCTGAAATACTCTCTCCAAAGGTGCTCATTCACCTGCCCCCTATTTTAATTAGCTTTGCTGCTACTTTTACGTGAGTATGTCAGTTTCTGTTTGTAAAGCCAGTTCTTTACAGGTGGCAGTTCTTAAGAGGAGAAGCATTTCAAAAATAAGAGTCAATAATGCAAGTGAAAATGAATTGAACATATTTTTTAAAATTATGTAAATAAAGAATGCCAAAATTTCACCAGATTTTGAGTGGGGACATATTTTTTGCAATATTTGATGACCTATGAGATCTGGATCCCTTTAATTTTTTAAAATTATGTTTGCAGTTACAATGCAACTCCCCTGAAGTATTCTTGCAGGCAACCCTTGCAATTCATAAGCTGGAAACCACTGTCTTAAAGAAATTATTGATTCTAATAATTCACCCAATCATTTTCCCTGTAGCCAGGATAGCAAAGACTCCTTTGATACCTCTTTATGGAGTATATCCAGAGATGACTGTATACTATTTATGTAGTACTCAGGAGAAGAACGTACCTATGAAAGAAAAGGATAACAGTGAATTTTGTGCATAATAAGCTGGTTGTAACTGTTCCTTAGCACATCACTATTTATGCATGTTTGGCAATTGAGAGTTGCAATTTATATTAATGTGCACCTTTCACAAATGATATAATGGCCTTCTTTCCACAATATGTTTGACATAATCCAGTGGTTTTGAATCACCCAGATACAGTAATAGGATGAAAAGTAGTAATGAGTATCAATCTGAGTATGGACCATGGCAGAGAATGGAAGCAGTTCAGCCACTCTGTGGCTGTCATATTGGGACTTTAAAAAAAAAAGGATGACCATTAGATAGCAGAAAACTTAACTAACTATATCTCTTTGTCATCTAGCAGTCATCCACATTTTTGCAGCTCAGACATGGCAACTGTACCACATCTATTTCCTGCCCAGCACCACCTGCCCCTCCTCTGTCCTCCTCCCTTATAGAGGACAAAAATCAAACTGTGAGGGAAAGAGCTAAAAAGGCTTTCCTCCATTCATCTTCGCCTGACTGTTCATGTCTGACTAGCTCTTGACATCCTTTCAACAAAAGGGAAAACCAATGCTAGCTACTACAAGTCCCGGAAGGAGAGGAGAGGAACAAGGTACACCAGCCAGCTCCAGAAACAGACCCCTTTCCATGTCATTTGTACCAATTGTGCAGCGTTTTCAAAGCATGACATTGATCTTATGAGAACTGCTCAAAATTTACTATGCAAGGAAACCAAGTATGGGACAGTTTGGATTGAATTTCCAGGATACCAGATCAACATAGGATCCACTATAATATTTATGATGTATATTTAGAATATAATCATTATTAGGTTGTTATTAAAATAAGATTATTTTATTCACTTCCTTTTTCTTGGCCTTTTGGCTAAGATTAAATGTAGTATTTATTCTTATTTGCTTAATTTACTTATCCTGATACTAATGCATAAAAATACTCAAACATTAGAAGCTGAGCAAAACTTTCATGTAAATTTGTACCGCCCTGCCAATCTTGCTGCACTTTGCATGCCCAAAATAGAATTAAACCTGTAATCCAAGGAAGACTGAAAGGTTGGAGAAATCAGGAGGCCTAAATAAGCATAAAATCTCTTTCCTGTAGGAGCTCCAAAAATTACTAAAAATAATAAATTAGAAGTAGCATTCAAATGTTATCCAACTGTTCCTGTGAAACCCAACCCAGAAATACATATCTAATGACATTCTTCAGTATGTTGATAAGAGCCGAAAGAAAGAAAGTTTATCACTTGGAGGCATTCACAAATAAGTACTTTACTGCCATCTTATCATGATTAATTATCAAAATGGAAAGTAATGTCAGTGTTTTGATCCAAGTTACACAAGTGGCAGGTCTGCTAGGGATCCAAACTGTCATTAACTAAGAAAGGTACAAACCTTGCCTGTTTATTATCAGCTCTGTTGACATCTGCTTTTATCAACAGAAAATTATCTATAAAATGAAGTAGCACTGATATACTAATCAGTGGAAGTTCTCAAAGATACGAAATTACAGGAGATTAAAAAAACACTTGAATGACCTCAAGGCCCTGCATGGGGGACATGAACATGTACTTCTTTAAAATACTGATTCAGCAATGAACCACTATTACCCTCTCTAAAATGCACATGGTGCCAGGGAAGAATGGCTTGCCATTCAAGGTAGTTTTTTCACTGAGTTAGCTAGAAAAGATCTAAGAAAGGGTCAGTAGCAAGTGTTGAGTCAATCCCAATGTAATTCTTCTTGAGTAGAAGTGCAAGGTCTAAAGCTCAATTTCTTATTAGGACAGATTGCATGTTCGTGATACTGTGGCAATAGAGTTGAGTTAATCTATGGTAGCTCATGAAAGCTCACGCCATTTAATAAAAGTTGGAAAAAGTACTACCAGAATGTTTTTGATTTTTTTTGCCATGTTTGCAATAGCTTCCTGCAAAATGAATGAATTGTCTCTCATTATTTCTTGTTGTCAACCTGAATGTTATTCAGGAGGCATGATATTACGTGGAACATTTCTAATATTAAATGAAGTCATGTGAAGGACAGATTCTATGAACATCATATTCTTACATATGTCACTGAGCACTTGGACAATTCCTACTTGCATATCTAGAGATAAGCATTTAGATCACATACATTTTTTAAAAAAAGTGGGGGAGGAGAAAATTGGGAAAAATATATTAGGAATAACTGTAAAATATATGGAAACTTACAGAATCATTACAATAATCACAAAGGTCATTTCCTCCTATAAAAATGGTTATGAGTTTCCAATCTTCTTGGAAATTTATTTTCTGCATTAGGAGAAAAAGGAAGAGAATAGACATAAAGAAAAACAAAGAA